GGGTTAAGTGCACAGATCCTGGGGTGAGCCAGAACGGAGTATGATCCTGCCTCTGCCACTTATTAGCTGTTTAGCCTTGGGTAATTACTTAACCTCTCTAATCCTCAGTTTCCTTATCCATTAAACGGGAGATGAGAGTACCTGCTATTTTAAGATGTTGTACAGATTAGTGAGATAGTGTCTACGGGATGCCTCGCACATAGAAAATATAATCCTTACTGGAGTAGAGAATGGTATGCAGGGTGTGTATTGTAATTATTTTAACCTATGGCTGGTGAACTTGCCTGTTGGGGCCAGCAGTCAGTATTGTCAAGTTTGTAGGTTTGACCCCAGTGCTGGCTTTGCCTTTTTCTGTGGCCCCAGACTGCCTTTATCTGTCTTTGGTCACAGAGGAGCCAAATATTTTTGAGTGTGAAGGGAAAAGGGCAAATTCATCACCACTACAGGAAAATCAACCCCAAGCATGTAGGTCAGTAACGTCACCTACATCTCTGGAGGGTGGTGTTTCCCTAATAAGTGTCAAGAGAAGAAGCCTGGGAGCTTAGACCAGACATGAGAGCCTCACAGATGACTCCTGCTTGGAGTTAAGTACACCGACATGTCACAGGTAGGGTCCCAGCTCCATGTGTTGGATACAAAATTGGCCGCTTTCTTTTAATTTATGTATATCAATCTATAGTCTGAAACTAATTTGTTTCAACTCCAGGGCAATGGATGAGATGACATGACATGGAATACACTCTTACCCCGGAAATTTTTTTTCCTCTCAGTGGTTATAAATACCTCCATGCTATTGTACTTGGCATGCTGCATGCAAATGGAGGTCGGAGTCCTAAAGCTCATTAGGAAAGGGACAGAGGCTTGGAGCAGAGAGGGGACAGCATGGAACTGAAGCTGATAACGGTGGCCTTGTCCAGAATAGTGCCTGGGAGCTTTCTTATCTCCCTTTGGCAGGAGGTGCTGTGGGCTTCCTGTGCGAAATCAGGAGTGAACGCTGCTTTCCTCTCGTTGTTCGGCTTCCTCCCCCTTCGAGACGGTTCCCAGCACAGCGGCTATCTTTGCATCTTCAAACATGGCACAATCTACTTCCTTAAGAGCCTGATGTATTCTTAAGGCTTAGGCAAGCTCCCCTCCCCCTCAGTCTCCTTTCAAGTGCTGTTATATAGTCAGGCTCCTGAACGGCATTCTATTTTTACGGTTTCAGTTACAAAGAGGGAAAAATAACAGTCCCCAAATTAGAAGACAGCCACAGAATCTGCCCTTTTTGTGTGGAGGACCTTGCAGGAGTGCAGCCTATGATTTCCATGCTGGGGCTTGTGCCATCCGTGACTGCCCTTAAGCTCAGGGGCGGGGGCCAGAGGTTGACAGCCCCTAGTGAACTCCAACAGCAGACTGCATTTCCCTCGGGAAACCCTCTGACTTGCTTTACTCTCACATATTTCTTTGCATTTCCTGAAGACCAAGAGTATGAAACTAAGATCTTTGTCTAAGGCCTCCCTTATCTCTTCCACTTCTTTAGGGGGAAAAAGAATAAAATTAAAGGCTTCTCTTCCAGATACAAGAGAACTTCTGCTGTGTGATGTCATAATACCCAGTACACATGCACATGACTAATATAGATGTCTACGTGTTCATAGAGCTGTGCACGTGTCATAAACCCCATATGCCTGTAATGTACATATACATTATATATACTCATATTTGTACTGAGCATGTGTGAAAGATGTGAGGTCAAATACTAGTTCAAAGTATGAAGGTTACCGTCTAGAAAATGGAGAATACTAAAAATGAAAACTAGGGCAAAATGACATCATGATTTCAAAGCTTCATCATTAAAATGTCTCAAGTAAAGGAGAAAGTGTCTAATTTCTCTTTGGTTCAGTTTTCTCTACTAAGAAAGAAAACTAATCAATAGAGTTTCTCTACTAGTAAAGAAAACTGATTTCACTTAGTTTACCCGATGCTTATAAGACTCGCTAGTAGACCCTAGCCGGTTTGGCTCAGCAGTTAGAGCTTCGGCCTGCGGACTGAAGGGTCCCGATTCTGACCAAGGATACATACCTTGGTTGCAGGCTCGATCCTCAGCCCTGGTCAGGGCATGTGGAAGGCAACCAATAGATGTGTGTCTCCCACATCAATGTTTCTCTCTCTCTCTCTCTCTCTCTCTCTCTCTCTTTCAGAGGGGGTACCCCTCTCTGAAAAGCAATGGAAAAAATATCAAGTGAGGATTAAAAAAAAAAAAAAGACTAGCTAGTAGAAATCACAGAAATTCCTTAAGAGTGGTCACTCCTTATTAATTCTTTTTAAATTTCATCTTATAATCTAACTAAAAGCAGACATTTTAAAAACATTCGGGGGAAATCTGATTTATGGGCTGTACACAAATAACACCAAGGAACTGTTGCTAAGTCTACTAGGTGCAATAATGGCATTGTTTTTATATTAGAAAAGAAGCATATTTTTTGGAGATAATGCACTGAAATATGTAGGGCAAAAATGACATGATGTCTGGGATTTGCTTTAAAATACTTAGAGAAAATAAAAAGAAATAAGGGATAGATGAAACAAATGTGGCAAAATCTTAATTGTTAAATCTGGGTGGTGGGTATGAGGGTTTATTACGTTATGTCTTCTTACCAGTATGTTTGAAAATGATAAACAACTAAAACAAATGAAAACTCTTACTAGAAACAACATATCAGTACCTCATGCCTGGTTGTATGCTTGCACACGTTTATGTGGTGCCAATTACCTGCTAGGCCCTTGCTTAATTATGAGGACAGAGTGAATAAGTGCATGTGGCCCCGGTCCCCCTGCAGCTGCTGGCCCACTGGGGCCTGAGAAGCATTAAATGGAAACTTAGCAAGTGTGGGTGCTCTGGGGGAGGACCTTACAGGGCAGCGTGCCCAGAGGGGAGACCATCCTGAAGACTAGATAGTTTCACATTCTGGAGTCCTTCCTAGCTCCAGGACAGTGAGGAGCTGGTCATTGCCATCCTTTCCGTCTTCCCTTTTTCTCACTTATTTTTATCTTTTCACCTTCATCTCACGTAAGTCCTAGCTGCCCTTGGCTCCTTAAGATCATCCACTCAATTCTTCCTGGAAACTGGACTCTAAAATGTCTTCCTGGTTTGAAAAAACCCAAAATCTCCCCAAGACATGTACAAATTAAGGCCCAACAAACATTCCGCTCACCACAAATTCTAGTCCAAAAGGTAACAATACAAAGTGCTTCAATTAAATGGTCCAGTGCAAGTAAACAGAAAAATCAACACTGAAGTTAATCGGATAGCAGAGGCCATGGTCGAGGCTGGCTGCAGGGACTCGAGTCAGGCTTCTTCAGGCAGTCTCTCCTTACCTGCCCGGGCTGGCAGAAAAATGCAAGCCTTGGGAGCCCACAGATTCAGTTTTCAGGCACCTAAAATATCTCTCTATTTGCACTGTATATCAAATAAATTCGTATTTAAATCTTAGGGAATATTTTAAGGTGAGCTTGCTATAGGCTCAGTGAGTGCTTTTGCCGTGAGAGCAGTGAGGGGTCACAGTAGTCAGAATAAGCTGTTAGACAAGGTCGAGCTGTGGGTGGCAAAAGTGTCCAGTCAGTGGTAGCTGTGTGAGTGAAGACGGAGGGACCAGAGTGAATATGGCAGACCCCTGTGACACACAGAATAATTCCTTACTTCCCTCTGGTGTCTAATTTACAAAACCTCTGCAAGTAAATTGGTCATTTGATGCGTATATAATCCTGTGAGATTAACAAGGCAGGTATATTTTTATTCTTATTTTTTAGAAGAGGAAACTTGTCATACATTTAGGAGAAGTGGGGGCGGGACTAGGTCTTAGGTCCCCTCTGACTCCTGGTCCAGTACCGTGAACTAATCAAACCAAAACACAGTTGACTAGAACCAAGGGTTTCTTGTAGGGTTAAGGTTGGAAAAGCAGGTAAGGAATGGACTGTGGATGGCCTTGATGTTAGACAAGGAAGCCTGGCCTTTCTCCAGTACAGTTGTTAAAGCTTTTGGAACAAAAAGGATTCCACTGAAAACCAGGACATGCGGGGGGTTGGTCTGACAGCAGTTTGGTGGGTGCTGGAGGAGGGGAAAGGCCGGCCGGCAGCAAGGCCAGTTAAGATACTAGTTCACTGCCCAGTCAGAGCGGACTTACATGTCTTTTTTATTGTTTGGGGTTTTTATTCATCTAGAATGCAGGGTCCATAAAATATAATAAATGATCAATAAATATTTACAGCAGTGGTTTGCATAGTAAACCATATGAAAATAGAAGCATACTGATAATAATGTGTCTGAGAGAACATGCTAACTTCCAGATATAGGTCAAAATCTCTCTTTAAAATTTCTAGTAGCTAGTTCAAAATAATGAGAGATATGATGGACTTTTAGCATCAAAAAAGATCTTAAAGATAAACAACTCCAACACGCTTATTTTATAATTAAACACTTGAGGCCCAAGAAGTTGAAGAGCTTGCTATGAAACCCCCAAACTTGAAAAGTAATAGACTGAACTTAATAACTGGTCCTTAATGTGTGTTTGCATATACACTTAATTAGACCTGGAAAAAATTACCTGCATAATGGAATATTCCGATTAAAAGCCAGCCTTTTATAGATGTGAAATGCTGTTATTTCTTTGAGGTTTTCATTCATTAACATAACTTTGGTTTTTCTCTGTGTTTGCATGTTTCCTCCACTAGGAACTAATTAAAATCTAGATATTAAATTTTCTAATTTATGCATTTTATTTCATATTTAACAGTTAGAACAGGAAGGACATTTAGAGATACATTGGTGTGGGTTTTCCAGACCAGGCAAAATATATTTGCTATTTTTAAGTTGTGAGGATGGATATTGGGGGAAATCTAAGGAAAAGGGGAAAAAAAAGTGTGATTTTGTTACCCGAGCACTTATCCAATGATTTTCACTTCACCTTGGGCTGGACCATGCTGCAAACAACATGGTAATGACTTACTTTTTTTAAAAATAGGTATGACTTTTGCTCCAGTAATGAAGAGGCCTTTATCCTGGATCCTGACAGCAACATAGGAAACAGAATTGAGAGCATCACTCAGCGCACGGCAATAATAGAAGGAAAGAATAAGGTATTCTTCATAAAAATAAGCATTGGGATACTTATTCTAAAAACACATACTCAGCTCCCAGTTCTGGGTTTATTAGAACCAGAAGTCATTCAAATGCTCAAACAAAAATCCGGAGAGAAGAAAGTATTGAGATATTGTCTTCATGGAGAGATGCACTGAGACCACTCAAATGGCCATATTCTCCAGCCGCCCTGCAGGCCCAGAGAATGAGCACTCAGTCCTAACAGAGGAGGCGAACTGCCTCTGGAACATCAGCCTTGTCCACATCAGTGGTTCTCAACCCTGGCCACATATTAGGATACTGTCCCGATTGTCATTACATTTAAATCTCTGGGGTGGAGCCCAGGGTTCATGAAAGCTCGCAGGAGATTCTGACATGTAACCAGGACTGGGAATCACTGCCATACATAAAGCAGGGTGGCGATAAACAAAGCTAAAATGGAATGTTCCCATTTCACAAAATACCTTGTTTCCCTGTCTTTGCAAGGGCAAAGCCTGCCTACATTGGGGCATACAAACACACAAGAGCTCAAGATTCTCTGACTTAAGAGATGCAAATCAAAACCACAGTGAGAGACACCTGTTAGGATGTCTGTCATCAAAAAGACAAGAAATAACAAGCGTTGGCAAGGATGTGGAGAAAAGGGAACCCTCAACAGTGCACTGTTTGGTGGGAATGTAATTTGGTGCAGCCACTGTGGAAAACAGTATGGAGATTCCTCAAACAATTAAAAATAGAACTACCATATGATCCAGCATTCCCACTTTTGGGTATATATCTGAAGAAAAGGAAAATACTAACTCAATAAGATATATGCACCTCTATGTTCATTACAGCATTACTCACAATAGCCAGATACAGTAACAACCTAAGTGTTCATTAATGGATGAGTGACTAAAGAAAATATGGTGTGTATACACAACAGAATATTATTCAGCCATAACAAAGAATGAAATCTTGCCATTTGTGACAATATGGACTGACCTTGAGGACATTATGCTAAGTGAAATAAGTCAGAGAAAGACAAATAACTCACTTATATGTGGAATATAAAACGAACACACAAACAAAAAACAAATTCATAGATACAGAGAACAGATTGGTGGTTGCCAGAGGCAGAGGGTGGAGGTGGGCAAAATGGATAAAGAAGGTCAAAAGTTACAAACTTCCAGTTAAAAATAAATAAGTCCTAGGAATGTAATGTGCAGCTTGGGGACTAAAGTTAATAATACCAAGAAAAAAATTGTAACTATATATGGTGACAGATGTTAACTACAGTTATTATGGTGCTCAGTTTGCAATATATACAAATATTGAATTATTATGTTGTACATCTGAAACTAATATGATGTCGAATGTCAATTACATCTTATTTAAAAAGAGAGAGCCTGGCCGGGCGTGGCTCAGCGGTTGAGCGTCGACCTGGGATCCAGGCGATCAGGGTTCGATTCCTGGTCAGGGCACATGC